TATCTTTAAAGTGAATGGCCTCCTGCCAGTTGGGCCTACTCCGAGTGCCGCAGTGTCAACAGTGACGAGAAAGGGCCAGAGGGGTGATGTAAGTATTGATACACTTCTTGAAATCACTTTGTCACCACCAGACATGCCAGGCTGCTGAAGTACCACACAACAGCAGGAAGATGATTGTGAATTCTTGGCAGCAGGATGAGGGATGCCATTAAAAAGGCAAATGTGATTAATTTTTAGTGAGAACGCTCTCATGTTGGCGAGTCAGTGAGGTCGGGCTAAAGGGATGTGACACAGAAATTACTCCTCCCCCTGCTCCTAATGTGACTCGTCATTCTCAAGAAATATCTTGGAAATGGGAAGACAAAAACACTCTCATCCAATAGCCTATTTGTTCAGGGCTTTTGTGGCAGGAATCTGGCTCGATAGCACAAAGAAAATCCATTGCTCATTGTAGATCACTGGCTATTTAACACACGATCGAGGGAGATATTTGATACGTCATCATCCTGGCCCGTTTAGTTTGTCTGTTTTAGTTTGTTTAAAAAGAGAAAGAAAATGAAATGCCTTTTTCTGTTCCACTACTGTGTTTTTCTGTAAACCTGTTCGAACTAAGACTCCCCCTCCTCACCCCTGTGGAGTGACATTTTCCAGGTGACACAATGGCGTAGGCCACACTTAATCTGGACCCCTTTATAAACACGGCGGGGCTGCGGCACCTCCACCGCTGCCTCTTGTCTCTGTCTGTATAAGCGCTAACAACAAAAGACAGGACACAGGTCACGTTAAAGGTTATGTCCTTTTCTGTTTCATGCAGTTTTAGACAAATGATTTTTACAACTTGAATTCATGTAATTATTGATATGCACAGCAGATAAAACCGCACAAGTCTTCTTCATTTTAGTTATGTTGTGACTTTTTCAGACTCCTCATCATCAGTGGGGTTTTTTCCACACCAAAAAACCTAAATAAATTGCTTGATACATTTTTTTAGTAAGAAACCCCCCCCCCCCAAATAACTGCTGAATCTAGAAAATATGGTACAAATTAAAACTCATATTTTCACATTAATATTTAATTTTAAAAAAATTCTGGCAATTATTTCATGCTTTAGAGTGTTAAGCGTTAAAGTACAACAAATTCATGTGTGTTTAGGGGTTTGCGTTTAGAGGCAATGAAAAGCAATATTCATATAAAGTGGTGTTTATAGAGCTCTATAGAGGTTTATATGAAGCCCACAATAACTTTTGCCGGTCTATGTGCCTTTTTAGAGTTTTATGCTTCTTCATGTTCCTCAAAATGACACAAGAGAACCACAACAGCAAAGTTATGATGAAAAAACACCCCAAAACAACCAGCTGGAAGTGGTCTGAACCACATATAGCTGAGAGACAGTCTGTGTACTAAAATTACGCTAAAGATTGATCTTTTTCATATTTAGTCATAAGGCATTTATCTATTTTTTTATTCAAAAAATGTCAAAAGGATGAAGATTCTGAGTCTATTTAGCCTCAGTGTTTATAATTGAGCTATAATTGATTCCCCAGACATCCATGAATAGAGAGCCTCAGAGTGCTCAGAGTCATAAAAATTACACTCTGCATGTCTTGGAAAGATGAAATTGTAAAACGTTCCCCAAAACGGAAGTGTTTCTTTTAAAATTGCCAGCTGCCCTCGCCGAAAACGAAATATCTTCTGAGTGTTAAATCGATTATAAAAGTCACAAGCCAGCAGAGATCACAATTGCTTAATCCGTTCTCGCTTGTAATCTTGGATTAGCCCTCGGTTTACGTCTCCTCAACAGAAAATAACAATCCCACTGCACACAGGCCAGCAGGACAGTCAACTGCACACCGTGCTGTAGTTTACTTAAGGTGGAAAACTGCTCATGTTCTTGTATCCCATTACCATGACCACCTTGAGATAAATGGCTCTTTCTCCCTTCTGCCATAAGGTTTTATATCAAACGACATGTGTTGAGTATCTGACTGCAGGTTATATTGTTGCAGCGGAAATAAAACAATCACTTTTGGAGTCGTTTCAAGGCGCCTGCATGCGCTGTGTAACTGCTGGCCGACCTATACGCACAGTGTTTATAGATGTAGGGAAGAGGACAGTGGCAGGTGACAGGTTAACTCTGCTGTGTAAATTCCTGGGCCGTGTATGATGTAGCCTGTGATCCTGCGGTCCTTGATTAGATCTGAGCCAGTAAATATCCTGTGATTAATCAAAAGGGCTTGTTCTGTGTGTAGCGTCCCTGTGTCACCTTCACAGCTGGGTGGCAGGGCCGCTGTGTTTACCGCACTCCACTTCCATCCCTTCAGACCTCATCCTTATTTCATCACAGCCCACAGAGGGACGACTTAAAGGCTCCTGCAGCCCTAGTGCTGCGGACATGGCTGGCATTATAATCCAAGATAAAAACTGAGATATTGTGGAAGATTTTTGTCCTCTAGTGAGCAAAATGTGCGGGTGTATAATCTCCACAGTGAGGCTGTGTCCCGCTGTTTAGTATGTTACACAAATGTAGAAGTGGGAATTGTAAAAGTTTATTTTTCAATCTTTTTTAGCTTTCTGTAGTTTTATTTCTTCATTATTATGATTGGCACTCTATTTTAAGTTAAACGCAGACGGACACACGCACGTTTCTGGGATTGCAGAGCAAAACACAAGTACCGTTCATCTCTTGTACTCTCTACTCTCGACCCTTTAAAAAGAAATATATAAAAAAGTCTTTATTCTAGGCAACACAGATGGGGGAAGCGAGTCCAACATTGTGTTTTATGATATTTGTTGACAATAAGAAATATAGAATACCACCATCCTTATCCTTTAACTACAAAATAATTAGCACTCAGACCGAGAATATCCCCTGGAAACAGCTTTGCTACAGGCTCGTTACATCCATGAAACATGTTCAAATGAAGGCCAACATGATAATGGGTGATTATAGTAATTAATAGACTGAACTAATTACTTTAGCCAGTTGAGATTCATTTAATGCTGAAGAGTAAGTGGTGTGTGTTTGAGTGGAGCCTGCCCAACTGAAACTGACTCATTTCTAATTAATCATACTCCTCTGCTTCCTTACAGTATCTTTAGCGTTGTCTGATAACTGGTGTCACTTTAGTTAGCGCCTGTCTGTTTAAAAAAAAAAGAAAAAAGTGTGGTCCTCACAGCATCTTCTTAGGCACTATTTTATTCCCTGAACAGCTCACTTGGAAAATCCGTCCTGATGTCCTGACTTGTCCGTGGAGCATGATTTCACTGATTCCTGCCCCCCTTTTTATGATGACCCCTTGATTGTCATCTGAAGATGGTCTGTGGGACATGCATGTCATGTTAATAAAGGCATTAAAACCCGTGTATCCCTCCACCACAGAACAAAGTCTGGACCTGTCCGCGAATATAGATCTCTAATTGCTTTTGCGTGGTGGTGCAGCAGAATTGTGCTTCCCAGATGTCACGTCTGCCAAACCCCGGTGCACATCACTGTCAGCGGGCCTGAGAAATCTCCCTAACAAGCTTGTGATTACATAAATCTATAGCTGCAGTGTGGCCAAAGAGACTGAATAACTTTCAAGGAGACTTCATGTTTGATGTTCCCGGGCTTGATTGCAAAGAAGAAAAAAAGAGAAACCCTTTATATTGGGAATGTGTCCAAACACTCTAGGTTTGCTAATTTTGTCATAGTCAATTTTATAGCATGGCCGTGAGAATGGGTGGCGATGGAATGAAGTTTCTGAGTGCTTTGCAAAGGGGCGTGAGTGGGTTTGACAGGCCACTGAAATATGCTCCGCTCTACCTTATTTCATTACAGCAGCAGGGGCTAAAAATGCAAATCTGGGGTCCACTCTCAAGAGGTTGTTCGAAAAGTGACACGTCAAACAACTGGCTTCGAGTGGCAGACAAAACCTTACATTAATGTTTCATCACTGAGCTCATATTTTGATATCTGATTACTACAGTGGCTTTTCAGGCATTCTCAATAAATTCTCATTTTCAATAAAGCTATGCTTTCCTCCAAGCAGCTCTCTAAAGCCATTGTTTGGATGGCCTCGCCATTTACTTCCACGTTTAATATGGCAGAAATCCTTGGTCATGAGAACAGTAACCATATCCTAAACACAGAGACTGATAGACCAGATCCGTCTCATGGCCTTCTCTTAAGGGGTGATGAATTGGCTTAATGGGGAGTCGACCACGCAGCCACACAGAGGGAGGCGTGAGAGGAGGTATTAAATGACATGATTTTATAGCCTATCAGCACTGTCATACCTCAGCTGTAAGCTGAATGTCTTTTTTTCAGTACAATAATGCGGTTTGAATATAACGGCCTATGCCACGTTAAACACACTTACGCAGAACACTTCAAGTGCTACCATGTACTTGTGCAAAAGTTTTTAGCCACCCAGCATTTTTTTTATATTTTGCTTCAAAGGAGCCAGACTTTCTTGGATTTTTAAGGTGGTTTTCCTGAAGGTCTTTCAAAACGTTTCTTTGGAGATTGGCAGCTTTTTCTCGAATTTTCAATTCAGTCGTTTTACCTGACTATTTTTAGAGGATTGATTTTTTTCAAATCCATGTCCTATGAATCATTCAGGCATAAAAAGGCACCTAACTCAACATATGAACCAATGTTGTGTCTAAAAATAACAGACAACTTAGCAAAGAACCAATAAACTGCCATAAAACACATCATTTGTTCCCATTTCTTTATTCAGAACTTTATAAAATACCAAAGATAACCCAGTTTGAAGGTATAAAATTGTATTTTTGTGCCAACAAGTTGATTCCCAAAGAGCTTTTGGCTGGAAAATTGGCATATCTCAGCATGGTGTGCAGTGTGTCCTTAAAAAGTTTGAGGAAACAGGACAAGTGGCAGAACTTAAAAAACAACAACAAACTTTTCCCTGAAGCCTCCTCAGACATGGTCACAGGAGAAAGGTGGGCGTAAAGGAGCCGTTCTTAAGGAAGAGGGAAAGGCTTGAAGTGCGCTGCATTACACAAGAACTGGACTGGAAATTAGTGGCAGCAGGTCTTATGGAGTGATGAATCCAAAGTTTCTTCAGCATTATTGAAGCAGTGTAGTATCATCTCAACAGAGAGCGAAACAAAAGCCTGCCAACATCTAAAGAGGAGCTTTGAATGGCATTCAAGAACTCCAAAGAACTCTTCCTGAAGACTTCTTAAATTATAAGAAAGCTGCCTAAGAGAGTTCAGACTGTGCTGAAGAGTAAAAGTGTTTAAGGAAATTATTAACTTTTTCATTAGAATTGTTTTTGCTTTGTATTTGGTATTACCATTTGTGTTTATATGTTTCACTGCACCTATTTCCCATTTTCTTAGTAACATATAAATAAATGAGAGGTGATTAAGACTTAAGACTATCAGTATTTGGCATCAACAGCAAAGAAAATTTAAAGACCACTTTTTTTTTGGATTACATGTGCTTTTTTTTATATGAAGTTTAGTAGTTTAGTTACCATCGATATGGAACCAGTTTTATTTATTTACACTTGTGCCAGTTCCAGCTTTTTGGCAGCACTGGCACCATGCTGAGGGTTTCCATGTTACCACTTTCTGTATATTTTAGTCAGCCCAAAGAATTAGTGGGATTTGTATCTGTACATAACTTGGGTGACCCTCTTAGTTGTCCTCTGGCACTATTGTAAATATATATGGTCATGAAATTTGGTCTGAATAACAGCTTTGATGGTTCTTTCTTATTCATCCAGCACAAAACAAAATAATTTGATCATGACCGAATCCCTGCCAAACTAATAAGATTTGCATCAGCCCTAATGTACTTAGTGCTAATTT